CAACATAATTCTTGTGTTTGGCTCTCCCATTTCCGTAGACAGGCGTGTTTAATTCTGTGTGTGTTTCCCAGACACCGCCAGGTGAAAAGGACCTGAGAAGAAATTCACTGAAGTAGTGAGACAAGAAAGCAAAATGCCACTGCTTCAGTTGGTGTATGACATCCATAAGGCAACTGAGGAGATGAGCTTTAATTTCCAGTCCTAACAAACAATTGCATGCTGGATTTTTACAATGCAAAAATGTGAGTGGGAGGATATTGCAGGAACACTGACACATACCAATGTCATTTTCATTTTCTGGATTGGATTTTTGATTGTCCTGCATGCCAAAATGTAGGGTTTTCTTCCCCTTCCCAACCTTGTTTAAAGCACGAAGAAGAGATACGAACTAGATGATGTAGGAATTAGCATAACTGTTTGGGAAATACTGAGAAGAAAGTACAACAGTTGTGCCTGTAAAAGTAAGTTCTTATGCATGTAAAAAACGAAATGTACACAACCAGCTGTGCAGTTGCTACCTACAAAGTGAAAGTCTGTGCCTATAAATATATGTTTTTGGGGCTGCAATGCATGTAGAATTGCTTCTTTTTAAATCAGCTCAAATTGAAATTCAATTTTAGGCCTTCCCATTTTTCCACCCTCTGGTATAATACTGCATATAGAATATATGGCATCATAAGGGAATTTGTTTGTATCTCATCTCTCTTTTTTCACCAAATTGTATTCCCAGACTGTTCCCAGCAGCTGTTCATCTAATTCCTCAGCAAGAACCATATTCGACAAGATTATACTGCTTTCATTAGTCCCATTTGGAGAAGCAGAGGAAGAGTAGAAAAGTAGGAGAGCTAAGAGTGCAATAGGTGAGCATATAGGAAAACACGAAATTCCCAGAATCCTGCAACTCAGTTAAGCCTTAGTTATAGGCAAAACACCACAAACTGCCCTTTGATGTGTTAATTGAAATTTAGCTTTCCACACGGTACCATTTTCTTCTCAACACAAGGGACACTAGCTGCTCTCGAGAAAGAAAAAAATTAAATGCCTGTCATATAGTTTTTCCTTGCTTACTTCAAGAACAAAGGGTTAAGACAGGCATTGAAAAAGTGTCCAGGAGATTAGATAAACAAATAAAAATGCTCATGTGTGTGTATATGTGTGTATGATGATAAGACAATTCCTATACATTTTTCCTTCTCCCCTTGCTGCAACACAGACAAAAGACAGTGTCAAGCATGTGAGGCCTCCTCCCTCTCTCTTCTGCTACAGCTTTCAGTAGGCACAATGCTTATTAGTACCACAACAAGCAGAGGTTTTGTAGTTCAAATGAATCACATCTTCTAGGGGTAATCAATGGCTAAATCAGAAAAAAAGAAAAGGTCGTAAGTTAAGGACTCAAACTGCAAACCAACCCAGAAAGGAACAGCAGATGTTAAACACGCCACAATATGTAGAGATGACATTGACTCTTATCTGCATCTAATCAAAGAAGCTCAAAGATCAAACCAGACACATTCATCTCTCGTTTGTAATTTGCTGTATGGCAGTCCAGCAGTGTTTCACACCAGTATTAAGAATCACAAAAAATACAAGTGGAAAAGAATTCTGCACGTCCTTCAGATAATGCAGGATTTTTCATTTTGTATTTTTCTCTTTTCGGTTCAGTATCAAGCACTGGAGATTTTTAGTGGTGGATCTGCAGCCCAGTAGCTCTCAGTATGCTGGAGCTTCATTATGGTCTCACAGTGTTAGCTTTGCTGATTTTTCTAGGAGGCAGAAAAGGGTTTTTCGCTGCACTTCATTAGCCTTCTAATTCTCCAGTAAATACTAAGAGGGTTGGATTCATCATTCTTGCCAATTTTAGTAGGAAGCAGTTTCTCTCCACTAATAATAAATATTTATATTTGCAGAGTTGTTTTCTCTGTTATGTTACATCTTGACCCATAGCTGTTCTTTGCAGAAACAATCCATATTTGTTGCATATTTGTAAAAGACGGTATCAGAATGCAGATACTGTAGCATATTTTGAGGATGTCCTGTTGCTATCTGCATAGATGTGCAATTTATGTCCTCCATTATGACCTTATTTTGAGATATCTTATATTTCCCATCTATGTTATATTTCAATCCCTCTTTTTTAGATTGTCTCCTATTTGTTGGCCCTATGCTGGTAATGAAGTGACTCTAACTGAATGCCTTCAGTCTGGTCTGACAGATGTATGCCAGGATGAATCTAGTGTCATAGTTCATATATTAGAGAAAAAAAATCAAAACTGCATCCTCTGCAGCATTGATTAAGGGACAGCTTGAATCCCTAAGGCATTTCAGGGCATCCTGCTAAAGATATTCCCTGTCAAAATAGGAAAATTTAATCTATTGCACATAGTATAAAAAGCCAAGTACTGGAAATATTCAGCACATAGCCTGAAACACACTAGCATGAAATGAGGCAATGAAGTGGTCTCACTGTGCCAAGCTGAATATATCAGGATGCTGACATCTAATACCACGATGCAGAACTCTGCCCAGTCTTGACTACTTTCAGATTGTAGGAGGACTTTGTCACCTCACCCTACTAATTCTATTTCATTCTGATTTGATATACATAATTGGTTTTCACTTTATTTTTGGAAAGTATTCAATTAAATCCTTTTCTTACCTTCTCAAGTTCTCGCTACCATGTACACATACTGCTTCAAGAGTTTTCCTATTTGCAATCAAGAAATTTCAAGTTTCTCAGGGAGGATCATTGCAAAAAAATTCCAGGGCCATCTTTAGTATCTTTAGTCTTGTTTTGCCTTTTATAGTGACAGAAAAATTCCCTAACACAGACGACAGCCACTGCTGAGCTTAAAGCTACAAGGCACCACTTGATCCGAGAGTCAGCTGATTTCAAGTGTGCAATCAAATACAGGCAGGGAAAAACTGACTGGTCTCAGAGCCTCCTTAATTTGGAATAGGATATTACACACTGCACTGAAGCACCCATTATGGCTCTATTCCTGCGTGTATCTATAAGCTCAGCAGAAGGTGATCTCCACTGCTCTGGCAGGAGGCACCCAGACACTATTCAGAGAAAGAACAAGTGCGTCCATGTCATTAATTGAGCTAAGAGAAGCAATCAGAAGTACAAAGTGGAGATCTCAATTCTTAGGGAGAGGCTGAATTAAATTTCCGAATACTCTAATAAGTATCTGGGGAGCTGCAGGAAACTATTATGCAATATAATTTTATCTACAGGATTCATTTTCATGCAAACACATCAAAGAGTTATTTTCTTAGCTGACATCATAACAGCCCTATCAAAAAGAGCATGTTAGCTCTGCCTGAAAGATATAAAGGAACAGTCTTCAATCCATGACTTGTAGTCAATGTACCGGCCAAAGACCCTCTGCAATGTTGCTGATAGCCAAGCACACTATCTCATACCCACTGAGCAGTGGGGCAGTGAAGACTGGGATCCCAATCAAGAGTCATTTTCCTTCTTTCATGATGTGCACAACACCTCCCAGAAATGTGTGCATGAGAATATCTGCTTTACAAAAGGCAAGACCTGATGATAGGAAGGTAATACAGAACTAGATAGAACCAAAAAAAGAGAGCTGAAAAATTAAACAGTGCCACGAAGGGCTTCAAAACTTAGTTATAAACAGTGTTATTTATTAATAAAAATCTAAGAAGCTTTACCACATCTGACATTCTTTAAAGAGTTTTAAAAAAATACTAACCACAGTTCCACAAAGAACTCAAATTCATCTTGAGTCTACTTCATTCAGATTTGAAGAAAATAATCTTATACAAACCCAAAAGGCTGGTGACTAACATTAATACACTGATCATCAGGATGCTCACAGCAGCTGTTACTGGCTATGGATGTAATTCAGTGTTTCCTCTTCCCATCCTATTGCACTGATGATGTGCTGGCAGAAGCTGTATTTTATACTTCAGCTTTCCTAGAAAAGCACAACTGCACCTTAGGACTAAACCTGCGATCATCCTGAAGTCAGTAGCAAAGCTCTTGTTAGAATCATAGACCTTTTCAAGATCATCAATTCCAACTATTAACCTAGCATTACAAATAGGACTAGAATTTCACAGTAGGAGTTATCGTATGGAGAGATATCTTAATCCTTTATTTCTTATCTCTCTAGGGAAAATTTATTTTCACTTTTGCAAAATCTTAATATAAAATGCAATACCAACACATAAAAACCTTGACCACTAAAAGACAATGCATCTCATCTTCTGCCTTCCAAAGACACATTCACCACTCACATTCAGCTGTCATAGAAACAATGGTGAAAGTAACGCCTGTCTCAGATGAAGGGATTCAGTCAAGGTTCAAGGATCCTAGGGAAGCAAAGAGAACATACTATGCTATCAGATTACTTGGAATTCATGTACTTAATAAAGCTCACAGACCTCAGGAACAGCCAAAATATTTGTTTCATTGCCAAAAAGCTTAACCTTAAACCACTAATATCAGTCATAAGACTCACATGGATAACTTTGTACACAATTTGCATTTTTTTCCACAGAAAGTCCTACCCAATTTTTCTATCAGACAATTCCATTTCAGGTAGTAAGGGTTAGTGCCTAGTAACACACAGGGCTCTTTTAGCTGCTTGCATGCTAACAACCAGTATAATTGTGCCTAGCTTTTTATTTTAAATGGAGACTACCTGCTTCCCATAACAATGGTACTTCGTTAGAGGACCTATTCCATCATGATTTATATGATACCTATGCAAGTTCCCAATGGGAGTTGTACTTTGAATAATAAATGTAACTTCTTTGTTCCATACAGATTTTGTGCTAGTTCTATCTCCTTTTCGCTTATTCTAGTCACTATTTTGATCTTCTTTTTGATGATAGTACCACAGTACACTCATAAATTCATATGCCAAGTTATTAAAAAGTAAAAAAAAAAAAAAATCCAAAGAAGTTGTGAAATACCCTGTAAAACTTGTTCCAAATTAAGTTTTTAGACCCTCAAGGGCAAAGGATAATCCATGGTCAACTGCACATACTCATTTATTTACAATACACAGAGAAACAAACAAAATAGCAGCAAGACATTCCTGCACATTAGTTTATTTTTTCCATTCTATGTTTTTATGTATTTCTATATTGTTTCCTGACCATGCCTCAGGCACGCATACAGCAACACAACTGCTGTCTCTGCAGTTCTACGATTCTGTCTATGTAGAGCTGGGAAGAAGCGAGTCAACTGCTTTGTTTTGGAATTCTTATTTTGTTTTACACACACGTGCACACAAACATGGGTACTTATGTTCCTTATCTCTAGTTTCTGAGACAGAGCTGAACTGTTTCCAGAGAAAACTCTGTTCTCACATGGTCAATTTTGCTATTACTCTGGAAAGATCCATTGTTTTAGATGACCTATGTTTCATTTCTGAGCTTTAGTAGATCCCTTAAATACTCCAAATCTCATTCTTGGAGTGCCTAAAGAAAATAGAGCAGAATACTGATATCAACTTATTATTCTTTGAATAGGTAGAGCAAAGAACAGAAGTCAGATGGGCTGTATCCTTCACCTCTGAGAATACACAGCATCATTTTGTGGTAGCTACAAGTCTTAGGTACCAAAGTTACTGCTATGTGCGTTATTGTATCGCCCTCGCTCTAACCCAACCGTGAACTAACAATGAATGAGACGAGATGATTATTCACCAGGATGGGACAATTTCTTACACAACGTCATAACCAATTACAGTTAAGCAGCAGGACTGAATTCGAGGATTGTAGCCACACCTTTTTTGCTGATGTGACAGCTACAAAACATCCAGGTTGTTTGGGAAGGCTTTGTTTAATACATGGCTTTAGTGGACCTTTATTAAGGTGGTCATCTTACCGTGGCTCTTGTTATTTGATCCCGATATTTAACTATGGCAAACTGTTTACAGGATAGCTTCTTGGCGTGGGATTCAACAACATGAAAGCCAAGACTACATAGAGATTTTTTGGGGGCAAAGATATGATTCCTCTTTTACAGAAGCTTTCAATTTCCAGTACTGTCTAGCCCTTCTAACTTCAGGTGGGAAAGGGTAAGGAATGGTATAGAGCAGTGGAAAAAAAAAAACCCACCTGGGGACCAGAGGAATAATTGAAGCTAGCACACATTCAGAATAACTCAGGAGATCCCAGGCTCTGGCTCAGAAGAGCAATTGCACGGCTATTGCAAAGTCCCCCTAAAGAGAGTGTGAGTGCAGAGTTCACAAAGACATTAGCTGTCTCCTGCTTTTCCAGATCAGAACAAAATCATCACCCTCCCTTAATGCAGACAAGTAGTTACTGCTATGAATAAACTCAAAAATGCTACTTACAATCTGATGTGTCTAATTCTGGGTATATTAATGTAGGATATTAAATCCTCAATTTCTGTTACTTATTTGGTATTTTTCCACAAAGCACTTCTCAGTGTAATTCAGAAACCAGATTAATGTCTGATTTCATTTTGATTTTGCTTTTGCACAAAAATCATAAACAAATCCCAAAACATTACAGGCTTCAGGCACCTTGTTAAATACTACCTTGCCCATAAAGACTCTGTACCTGAGAGAACTCACAAAAAAGCTGAAACAGAAAAGGACTGAAATAAGTGTATTATGTAGAGGTCCCACATATACAGCAGGATTTCTCATATACTTCTAATACAGTGTTTTGTGTAATCCCCAAGGCAAAACTTCTCATGACCACTATCTGCAGGAAGAATTTACTGTCAACACAGAGGATACGCTAAAGGAACAAAATGAGCTCAGTCCACATTCACACCAACCCCACAGCTCCTTAAGACACTCATTTTCAAAGTGGTTTGTTTTTTTCTTTTTTTTTTCAGTAAAATGAGCATTGTTTCAAGTTCCTTTATGGCAGGTCAGTAGAATTAAAATGAAGGCAGGCTTGCTCACCACTCAGAGCACTTGCCTTCTTTTTAATTTCTCATGGGAATGAAAAGTATATTCAGCTTTTCTTCCTTCAGCTCCACACTCTCTACCCTTATAGAAGATTACTGAAACATGAACTTGAGAAGGCTGTTTCAAGCAGAAGCATGTTCCTATGTAAGGGAATGATGTTAATTCCTGTCACTCTGAACATCCAAGTGAGATTGTTGTTAAAGCTGCTTCTAAAGGACCAAGGGAATATGTGCCATTCAGTTCAATGACTTTCATCACCTCTATTAGACTAAACATAAATGTAATATTGCCAAGCCAGATTCCAAAGGTTAGTCTTTCATTTAGGCAAAATACTGGAAATGCAAAAGCTGTGTAGCATTTACAGGAATCTAACATGGATTCAATAAACCAATTGAACACAAAAGGAACATCCTTTCTAAATGCAAATTATTCAGGTGCAGTTTGAGTTCCTTAAAGGTTACTCTTCATTCTCTCTCCTCATCTAATAAATGACAATACAGAACAGCTTAGTTTCCTCTTCAAACTTTTTTGTATTAAGTCATTCTGCTGCTTCTATTACAGGCCTTCTCTGTATGAAGCAGATATAGACTCTGGACTGCTTCTGTCCTGTGACTGCTCAACACCGACATTACCATTTTACTAAAGCACTTCTGAGAAGAACTTAAAAAAGAATTTAAAAACCAAGTCTAACAACACAGCAATGTACAAGCTGCAACATTTTTTCTTTCCTTTTCATTTTGCCAAAAGATTTTACATTTTCCTATATGGAAGAGTAAAATCACAAATATCAAGACGGTCCCAGAAAATGCAGCCCAACAACTCTTGATACTACACTCGTCAAAGTGTCAACAGATCTACCTGAACAGCTATGCACAGTAGCTCCAGATCTGAATATGAAATTTCTTTATGATGAGATCTTGTCTTTTGTGAAGCCTGGGGCCAACCTTTTACTTGGTTCCTGTGGGTCAGAACAATATTTGTTAACCAATTTTGAGGCAGGGTCTTAGGAATCACATGAAAGAAAACATGTTATATTATATTATTACTATATTATGTCATATTAGAGATGGTCTATCCAAGAAGAACTATATTTGTGCACAAATTAAATGCCGCATAACAATAGCCACTAACTAGGAAGCTGCTGTGGGCCCTCTGTGGCATTGCACATTCATTAGAGAAATTTGCAAGTATATTTTATAAACAAAATTTGCCTTTTCTATGGAAATTTAATTTCATCACAACTCGCATAGCAGCATTGTCAGAATTAACAGGGGTGAGTGAAACCTCAGAGCCTTCATATGAAGAAAAAGACTGATTGAAAATGGCATTGATTTCCCCAAGAAAACAAAAAGTGAATGATACTACTGGGAACTACTGCTACCTCACTGTTAAAGACAGAGGGGAGTCACTTCCACTGGAGAAAGAAGCACTAGCTGTTTTTTGGTACAGGAAATGTTTTGCATTTTCCATGTTTCCTTTCACATAAGATTCAAATGAGACACAGCAACTGGTCACATGATGTTAAGAGTTTAAGCTGAAATTGTGGCCGTATTTTACACAGTCAATAATTCAGTTCATATTTCTGTCTCAGCTGTATTCTGTATTTTTTTAATTGTTCCAAGGTCTCATCCATTATATATTAATGGTACCATGCATGATATAACTAGTCTTTTTAATGTTGTAGGTAGAAAATAGACAAATAACAGTAAGAAATTCAATTAAGAAGAAGAGACACATTCTGGTTTTGATTCTGTGCAAAGATAGCACCCAAAATAAAGAGAATGACAATAAAGACTGGTAATAAAGTTCCAAATGAATACCTCAGCATACCATGCATAACTGAAAGAAGGATTCAGTCCTCTCCAGAGAACATGCTAGAAAGTCCTGATAAAATGGACTTCCATGTACTGATAAAAAACATTTACTGATTTTTCTCCTAGTGGAATAAACCGTGACTTTCTTGCTTTTTTTATATCTATCATAGGCAGCAGAAACACACTTGGAGGTCATGTATTTCGCTTTTGTCTTCTGGAGCCCAGAGACCTTGACTCCACCTACTGCTGCTGAGAAACTCCGTGAGAGCAACAGACAAGATGGCTATGGCCAAGGGCAGCCCTTTTAAGACAAGTGTCAGAGCAGTCCTCCACCCTAGTTTAATTAGAAAAAGATTTTTCTCATCATGCTGCTGCAATACTGTCAAGGAACTCCATTTTGTTGTAAAATCATGTCTTAGTCGTGTTGGAAGGAAACCAATAAAATTATTTTTGATCTAGAAGCAAATAAAAACCAATCTTTTCAAAATTTAACATGAGTTGCTAACTTGTGGTTTTATAACTCACGCATGGCTGACTAACTTTTAAAACCTCAAACTTTTAAGTTCTCATAGAAAATGAGGGCAGAGTCTCATTTTGAAGCTCACATCTTATAGTAAGGTAATGACTTTTTTTTTTTGACTGATGAATCAGCTGCACATGAACTGCCACTGTACAAAAGCACGGCATGTTGGATGCTATGGCTAGAACTTTGTCGCTTAACACAGTCACAGGTTTTTTGCACCCTATTAAGAGTTTTCTTCCCAGCTATTTCAGTTACAAAAATAGCTCTTAAAACATACTGTACATACTCGGGATGAAAATTTGACACAAAATTTCAAGAAAAAAACCATATTTTTCCTCAACACAGTCTTTCCTCTGCTACCATCCACTCACTAGATATTCTTTCCCTAATTCAGAGTCACCAAGAGTTTTGCCTGCTTGCACTGTAAGCAATCTAAATAATGAAGCATTTTCTTCACTCAAAGCAGAGCCAGGCACTGGCACCCCTGGGTCATACCTGGCCTGCCAGAACAATACCTGTTGGACATCACAGACTGCTGAAGGACTCAGTTTCCTGGAAGAGACACTGGTAGCTGGGTGGGGAGATGGCCCCTGTGCTGCACATGCTCTGCAGCAGCAGATCCATACAGAGAGAACCAGGGGTGAGTCACAGCCCCTCGGTGGCACCAGCAGCTGCAGTCGCTGGGCCTGCCCCGGCAGAGCCACGACACCACAGTCGGCAGGGCACGTGTTTAGCCAAAGTGACACAACTGTTGACCAGGCAGGATTTCTCCCTTCCTGCCCCACATTTTCAGGTGGCAAAGCACTCAGCCAGCATTTCTTCAGCTGGGATCTATGCAGAAGGCACAGCAATGCTGTCAAAATAAAACACTGAATCACCCATGTAAAACCTTGCTTTTTTAAGAAGGAACTCCTACTGTGCAACACTGGATTACAAAAATACATCTACAGTGAAAGTGAAAATACATTTTTAAATTCTGATTCTCTGTCAAAGCACTTTGAATATCAAAGGTCCTATTGTAGCAAAGTTCCCAAACAAACAAACAAGCAAACCAAGCATGCAGAAGTTCATCAGAAATTAAAAAACCACCCCACCAACCAACTGAATGTTGGTATATTATATCAACTGCAAAGGTAATGTTAGTATAAATCTCTGATATTTATGCAGTGAACTGACAATTCCCAGTCAGACTCC